TTAATAAACCCAATCACCTCTTTCCCTCAGAATCCTTTTTTTTTTTTTTTTTGTATCCCCCTACAGTCAGCCTGATTGGAGTCGAGGGAGGAAATGCCACCCGAATCAGCAGATTCGCCAACTACCTCCGAAACCTGCTGCCCTCCAGTGACCCCGCCGTCATGGAGATGGCTTCCAAAGCCATGGGGCGCCTCGCTATGGCAGGGGACACGTTCACTGCCGAATACGTGGAGTTTGAAGTGAAACGTGCCTTGGAGTGGCTGGGGGCCGACCGGAATGAAGGACGCAGACATGCCGCGGTGGGTTCCCTTTTGTAGCTTTGGTACAGGGTGGCTGCCTGTTCTGTGCCTCTGCGATGTCACGGGGAAGTTCGCTTTCACACAGAATGTGAATAATTAAACGTCCTGCACTCAGACATGTAAGTGCCGGGGGGAGGTGGTGGGGTGTGAGAAAGTGAACTTACCCTTTCAGTGAATTGATTGGTTTGGTCCTGTACACAATTGAAGGCATTTGCTGTTTCTACCAGTTACTCAAACAATGTAATATACTGAAGAGAAGGTATAATGGAGGTGACAAGTTAAAAGGGTCCTTTTTTTTAGTTACCTATATCCTACCCATCCTCTTCTAGAACCTCATTGATAGTAAAGAGGAGCTTAATCCCTTCTTTCCACATGTGGCAGTGTTTGGGCCATCAGATGAGGTGACGGGAGACAAAAACCCCATGTAAGCACTGCTTCCTTCGGAGAAGGGCACATGCTTTCTCATACCCACTAGGGCCCCATTAAGCCTTCCTACCAGGCCCGGGTTCCCCTGCTGACCCTAGGGGGCCTGAGGCCCGTATGGGACGACTGCCTTTACGCCGTTAAGGTGGCCCTAGGGACTAGGGCTGCAACCAACTAATTGATTAATTGATTATATTGGTTTTTAGAATAGTTGTCAACTGTTCTCATTATCGATTAGTTGATCGGATCCCCTAGCTCTCGCCTGCACGCTGGGAGGAGGGCACAGCAAGCAATGGGTGGGGTGGGTGCAATAGCCAGCCTGCTATTGGCTATTGCAATTTGAAATGGCCAATAGCAGGCTGGCTATTGCACCCACCCCACTACCTGCTGTATTTATATTCAGCTGCCATCTGCGGAATCTTGCCACTGGCAGCCGTCATTCCCTGGCTGAAGCTATTCAAGCGCTGTGTGCTTACAATACAATTATTATAAAAGGTGGGAAAAAGAGTAATTTTCGGTTTTGGCCTGACTGATCATAGAAAGCTTTGCATGACAACTTTCACTGCTGCAGTGCAGGTACTGCCTTATACAATTGTCCCGGGGCTGCCATTAGTAATCATGGGGCCTCTCGCAGCCTCCTTGCCATATTGCCTTCCGGCCTTGTTCACACCAAATGCAGAGCAGATCCGCTCAGGTTTCTGCACACGCAATGCAGTGGGTTGTGCCATGTTTTTGATGCGT